GGTTAAGATCATTAAAAACCCAGAGGGACAACTGGCACGTTGGATCGAAAAAATAGACCAGTATAATTATGGTATTGAATACAAAGAAGGAAAATCTTATGGAAATGCTGAGGGACTGAGCCGATGACCCTGCAAAAATGACTGCACACATTGCTGCAAAAGAGAGGTTGAACTAACCAGGTGTCATCAAGCTGAAGTCAAAGTGACTGAAGGAGTTGATGATGGTGAAGTGGAACCAGGTATAGATATTAAACCAGAGCAGGAGAAAGACCAAGATTTGAAGCCAATAATTGATTTTCTAAAAGCAAGTGTTTTGCACCCTGCTTTGGGAGAAGGTGTCTAGCTTAAGCCCTGTGACAAAGAACTATTTGGCACAATGGGACCAGTTGAAGCTTGAAGATGGTATTCTTCTCCGGAGACGGGAAACTGCAGGTGAGAAAGTGACGACCTGTCAAACAGTTATACCGAGAAAGTTACGGGAAGTTGTGCTGCGTAAATTCAATGATAGTTTAACAGGAGGACATATTGGAGTTAAGAAGACATTGAGTCACCTACGACAGAGATTTTACTAGATAGGTATGATGCAAGATGTGGAAGAATGGTGCAGGACCTGCAATACATGTTGTGCAAAAAGGGGACCCAAGCATAAGGGACGTGCTCCAAAGGAGTTATATCAAGTTGGCACATCAAGGGAAAGAGTAGCCATTGACATTGCTGGTCCTTTGCCCTAAATTCGTGCTGGAAACAAGTACATTTGTGTGGTGATGGATTACTTCACCAAGTGGCCTAAGGCATATGCAATACCAGATCAGAAAGCTACAACTGTAGCTTCGGCTATTATTGATTTCTTCTTCAGATTTGGTATGCCATACGAACTGCATTCTGATCAAGTCTGTAACTTTGAATCAGCCGTGTTCCAAGAATGCTGCAAGTTGTTTGCCATCCGAAAGACCAGGAAAACGCCACTTCACCCACAGTCTGATGGGATGGTAGAAAAGTACAACTGGACACTGGGACAGTAATTGACAAAGTTTTGTAATAGCTGCCAAGATGACTGGGATGTCTTACTCCCTCCACTGTTGATGGCCTATAGGACAGCAGAGCAGGAAGCCACTGGATACACTCCAGCAAAGCTGATGTTTGGTCGGGAACTTCGGTTGCCAGTGGATCTGATAACAGGACGCCCACCTTACGAAGAATTGCCTGAAAATGTGTCAGAGTTCGTGAAAGTGTTACCTGAAAGGATGGATGATATTTACCATCAAGTGTGTTCAAACTTGAAAACGTCTGCTGATTCCATGAAGCTATGTTATATAAGAGATTTACTGAAGTCAGCTTTGTACCAGGAGACAAGGTGTTGTTGTATAATACCAGGAAGACCAAAGGGAGGTCTCCTAAGTTGTCTTCTCCATGGGAAAGCTCATATGACATAGTGGATCCGAATAAAATGTGGTCGTCGAGGTAAGCCAAAGGTGATGCATGGCAACAGGCTTTGGCGTTATCACGGTCCAGGACATTTCAGTTGGAATGAAGTGAACAACGAAACAAATGACGCTGCTGAAAATGTGTCACCTGAAAAAGCCACTGTCGAAGAAGAAACTGTACCCGATTTTGAGAAGGGAAACTGTGAAGTCCTTAATGAAGTTACTACCACTGATGTGACTATTACCGATAATAGGACATTTCCTGATGGAGCAGATGAACCCTACGTGAAGCAGAAGCCAACGATACAGAAACCAGTACAGAAGAAGACACGTCCCGTAAAATTAAGAGACTTTGTTGAATTTTAATTTTGTGTTTGTAAATTCTGTACATTTAATTAAGTTATTGTTAATTATCTATTGATTTAATGTAAGTGGCTATTGTTCGGGACGAACAATACTACTGTAGATTGAACTGGACCTCCGTTGAACTTAGACTTCGAGATTAAACAATTTTCAGAATACTGTTACGATAGCGGAAGTCACGTGACGCTAGTAACACGTCATGAGATTCTAGAAGAATCATGACTGTTCATAGCAACTCTAGTCTTTTCTAGGCGCCCTCTATTTTAGTATATAAGCCCGGGAAATGAAGCGGAGATATAATTGCAGATAGACAGATAATTGACTCAAGTGAGCGGTAGTGACCATAAGTAATGTGCGTGAATCGTTGTGAATTATAGCGTGGGTTTAAGTTAAAGTAACTGTGGAAATTCTGTGTATTACAAAGTTGTATTGAGAATTAATAAACTAGTTTTATTTAAGAAAAGACTTGTATCGCTGAAGTTCCTCCGGAAGAATTTACACCGGAAATTAACAAACGACCAGAGACGTAACAATACTAAGTTTATGTATTATAAATTTATATATTACATCCTTTGATACCGAAATTTGTTTTTCTCGCCCTAAAATGAAAATTGCAGAGACATTAGTTTAATAATTGTTAATTAAAATATATTTTCATCATTGATGGTATTAACATAAGATTTATGGGACAAGGGGCTTCTTGACCAATTGCGGTTGTCCCATTCTTTCATCGACCTTCCACTTACCTATGTTCACCTCTGACTTTTGAGTGTCTTTTATAAAGTCTCACTTTGAATTCTCCCAATTCTGTTGCCTCGACCAGATTTCTGGATAATGTATTCCAATGTGACCACCCTGTTCGAAAAATAAAATTGGCTAACAGACAACATATACCAAGAAGAAGACTGCAGCTGCAAATGAGTATGGTAATTTGTATTTGCTGGTTATTATGTATTACTTCACTAAGTGGGCTAAAGCTAATCCATTGACACACTAGCATACTCTGTTACAAATGTGTTAGCTAAACAATGGATATCATGCTTTGCTGTGCTTGCAGAAATCCACAAAGATTAACAATTACTCTCTAAGCCACTGACATTGGTCAAATGTCTCATGATAATAGTGTGATCTATCTAGGAGAGTTATAATGAAATTTATGATGAATATTGGCAGATATTTGCTGGTATAAATTTTCTAAGCAAACTTCCAATCTTCCTCTAAAGTTGGGGAACTTTGTGTTGTTTATTTAAAACTCAGTTGTGTGTTGCTATGCAAGATTGCATCTGGTAAATGTATATCTGGTAAAAAGAGTCGTAAAGTTCATTTTATTTTAGCTTCCTTTGTTCTTTTTCATTCTCTTGGAGGTAAAACCTGGTCTTCACATGGGTGGTATAGATATTAAGCTGTTTCTTATACGTGAAAGTCGACAGTAGTGTCTTTCAATTCTAGATCAAATTATATCTTGATATTATAACCTTCCTTATGTTTGAATAGAAATGGCCAGTCACGTGATAGTGCTAGTTTCAGTGAGTGAATCTGACGTTACTGTGTACTACAAGGTTTATATAGTCTGAAGTATCATCATGAGTGAGTCATTCAGTTTGTAAG